TATTTCACTTTATGATATTTTTTAACATCAGACAAATTTTGTAATATATTCAATAGTATTTTAAACCATCTCTGACTTGTTGTATCTTGTCTGGTACAGGCTTCCATAATTTGTACTTTCAACAATAAGAAGTATTATTAGTCTTTCCTCTGTTCCAGAAGTAATACATGAAACTGATCTATGAATTTCATAAAGATATTTAAAGAGAGTATTTTTTAAACAATGAAGCAGAAGATTTACAGCTAACTGAATGATAAAGATGTAATTAGTTGTTTTTTCTAGGCATAACAAAATAAAAACTAAAATACCACAATCACCTAAGCTTGAAGTCCTGGATTTATTCTTTCTCATACTTCCCATTCATTCTGTGGTTTGGTCACCAAGATCTGTTAGCATTTGTTCTATTCATAAATCTCTACTGTCTACCCCTCCATTTCCAACACTGTAGTGTGTCTGATTCCAGTTACTCAAATCCAGAATTTCATTCCTGATTTCTCCATCAATTTTCTTTACTGATTCCCATTCTTATTTTTCTCCTATTCTTGACTTCATTCTTACTTTTTGGCAGGCGAATACATCCTATAGATAATTATAGATTAACATGCCTTAAAGATCATAATGCTGTGGCTTTTAGTTTTTTTCTATCAGATCTTAAGTTTTCCTAATTTTTAATGAATCCACTCACATTTCTATCTTCTCTCTTTTCCTCTCTAGTTCTATTTTGTTATTTACTTCCTAAACTAAAATGATTCCTTATCCCATCTTTGGTCATAGAACCCTTCTCAGAAACACTCTATCTATGAACTATGTCTTCCAATAATTACGCACAAGAATACTTTCAGCAGTACATATTATAAAACTATAAAAATTAGTATATAGAAGAGGCTTGTAAATATAATTTTCTTAAAGATAGTAACTTCTATTACTTTAATTTTTTCATTTATTGTAATTACTTTTGGAACAATTGTTCTGATATTTACATACTTCTACTTTACTACTTTTATTTTTTGGTAGCACTTGCTTATTATGTATTTCTTCATCTTTTTTATAGTCCAATAGTAGTATCATAAAAGAACTGTTCTGATATATTTCACAATTGTACATTTTCAGGATATTATTTCTCTGCTTGTTGATATTTCATTTTGGAGGGGGTATATAAAGCCAGTCTAAATTTTCCTTTTGGGGATAGGCATTTTTATTTTTATTTATTTTTTTTTTTTTTACTAGAATACCAATAGGATATTTTCCTTTAAAATTTTTCTTTCAAATTCAGAATGTTCAACAGTCTATATCTATAAGTTGACCACTTTTTACTAATTTATCCTGGCCCATGATAATTAATCATGGCCCTATTTGGATGAGATAATCTTCATCTAAAATAAAATAATTATTGCATGTCACTTAGAACATGGCTTGTATCTGTTTGCTCTGATCTCCCTGTCAGGAAGAGGATTTGTGTATCTCTGTTGGCTGTCTTACATACACATCATCCTCGCCCCAAGCAGAGTGCTCTTTTCATTTCTTTCCTTTGCATAATCAGAGATGTCTTCCTCTTAAGCTCCACATCAGAGATTCCCTTGGCTGCAGTGTTCCAACCTTTCGCCTTCTGATTCTCCTGGGCTTCCTCCACAGAATCCCGCTCCTGCCCCATCTCTGGACTTGTGGATCAGTCCCTGTCATCTGAGCATTTTCCATTTTGTGTGGCTTCATTTGTCCTGAGATCTTACAGAAAAATTGCTTACAGATTTTACAGAAAAGTCAAGTAATTCTGTGTTAGCTACAGAATGCTCCCAACTTCCACCTTCCCCCCAAACAGTTCTGCCGGGAGCTAAGTTCCTTATTTTTTGTACAACTCTCTTAGAAAGAGACTTGTGACCTGAAACTTAGTTTTACCATTAGTGTTATTAGTCCAGTTCCATCTGTACGGAATCTATGAGAAATGCCTTGGAGTCTATAGCCTGGGAGCGAACAGAATTCTTCTCCCTGTACCTGTGGAGTGCAGGTTTCTCACTATATAAATTGCTGTGATCATTTATTTGAAGTCTGAGTAGAAAAGCCAAAAAGCATAATTATACTCTGAAGCTCAAAACTCCTTTTTCCTAAAAAAAAAAAACTAGCACTTACTTTTTTTAAATAACATTCCTATGTTGATTTTACTCTAAGAGGTACATTTTATCAACTGGATTCCATATGAATTTGATAAAGGGCAAGTCTTTATATAATGCAAAGCTCTTTAGTCTAAGCTAAGCTATTATTTTATCTCTTTTTATTCCTGTAAAAGAAGGAAAGTGATCCGTAAATACTCAAAAAAAAAAAGCAGATCTATCTCAGGAAGCATCTAATTCATTATTATAATACTTAGGAAACCAACTTGAAAATATGCACATATCTTGTATTATAATATATAATGTATATGATATATACATAATAATTTCTATGTTCATAATTTAAATAATCCATATTCCAGAAATATCATTGTTTTGAATGTACCATAAAAAATACAACATCCACTGGAAATAAATCCGTATACTCTAACAATCTATCAAGACATTCATAACGATGAAAAACTATAAGCAGTAACTCTCCAATGACAGAAGTATGGCTATGTAAGTGCAGCTGTATTTATGGGGGATGGTCTTCTTAGATAGCCTTTACAATTTTCTACAATAGGTAATAAAATCCTATAGAAACATAAAAAATGCTTATGATAAATACTAAATGGAAAAACCAATATAAAAATTGTATAATACCACTACTACAACTACACAAAGAATGCAATCTTTGAAAGGATAGAGTAAATACACAGTTATTACAATCCTTTGGTTAGCTTGTTAAGGATGATGGGTGTTTATTCCACTTTTGTCATTTCTATCACATCCAGGTATTGTAAAATTTAAAGGATAAATTAAATATTAAATGTTTGTGCACAACGAGTTTTGAAGATGCAAAAACTTCTTGCACAAGTCCTTGAGATAGGTTAAGAATCATATAACATGATAGTCAAACTCTAAAATGTTGATACCATTTTGGAGAGACAGTTCATAATTTCTTTAAACTGAAGGTCATAGCTTTAATTTAAAAAAAAAATAGGACCCTTCACTGTCTATCCACTTAATTAAAGATTTCTCTTTCCTGGCAGATTCTTAGGGTGTGGGTTTATTTCCTCACTGAATCCCTGGCTCCTGGCCTGGTGCCTGGCTTACAATTAGAATATAGTGCTGTGGGTATATGTAATATTTTTCTTCCAAAATTCTAAATTCACATGCGATTATTTTCCCCTGGGATAATTTTACATCACCATGAAGATTCTGAAATTATCTCAGCATCATTGATAACATCATAAAGTTTATCAATGGTGATGATACGATGATGTGTACCCAGATGTGCATGCACACACACATATGTAGGCAGAAAAGCAAAGCAAATAGAAAACATTTCAAAGAAGAAGAAGAAATGCTACTAGAAGAAATGCCATACCCAAAGAAGAAGAAAATGCTACTCAAATCTTTAGTTCTCTAAACTACAAGCAAATGATAGGATTTTGAATATATCTTCTTTTAAAAGTATAGCATTTTCCTCTTTTGAACATCTTACAGATCATATCCAAAGTTATAACTACATTACCACCAACTCACAAGACATGACTTGTCTTCAACTTCTATGGAACTTCTAGTATAGTCCTTATCAGGGTCAGCATATCTATTCTGCCAAGATGTCAAGTCTTCTACGAACACATAAGAGGGTCCCAGGAGCCTGTTCATTAAAAATGTCCCTCCAAGACTGATTTTTTCCTTCCCTCTGGTTGGTTTTAGCAATAGCTGGCTCAAAACACACTACAGAAGACAGAAAAATCCAACCCAGAAAGGCCCACAGAATGAAAGCCAACCAGTGAGGAAACACATTTTGGTTTTTGTAGAGATTTGAGAAGCCATGATTTTTATTTAGAACGGATGAAATTTAATCTCTGAATGTAAAAGGCCACTCCTGTTGAATGTCTGCCTCAAGGATAACAGCCATAAATCGACCCTCTCCTTTTCTACTTCATTTCAAATGAAATCACAGTGATGTGAAGATGAGTCATAAATTAAAAAAAAAAAAAATGCTACCTGTTAATTTCCGATCCCTATTCAAGGTGTCCAACCTTAGCTTTCTTATGCACAATCACCAGTACCCACCTCCCATTTCACCACCAAGGAAATACTGGATGACTTATTAATGACCTACACAATATTAAGACTGTGACCCAGAGGCCCGACCCTGTGAGTGTATAAATAATAATATATACCCCGAACATTTATGCCTGCGATTGGAAATGATCCCAAGATATTTCAAGAATTTATCAGGATCTGCATTCAGAGTTTTCCACCGTTCTGGACAGAGGGAAATTCCAGTCTCATTGCTCAGGGTGCTGGGCCCACCTGGAGATGTGACCCTGGAGGTCCCCACCGGTTTCTTAGGGGTTCAAAGACCAAAGGGTGCTGCTTTGGCAGCTCAGCGTTTTCCTTGCTGAGTGTCCACCCTAATGAGCTGCTCAGACAGAACAGTTAATAACACAATGACTGCTAGAAAGCCTAGAGCAGTCCGCAGGAGCAGGGGGTGGGCCAGGCCAGGCCCAGGCCCTCTCTGAAACCTGCTGGAACAGGTAGGTCCCCAACCCTGGGCATCCCTCCTCCTCGGGTGCAGACAGCCCCCCCCCCCCCCCCCCCCCCCCCCACGATGCCACCGCATCCCCAACCACCTGCCACCCGAATGCCCGCGAGAAGGCCGAGCTCTGCGGACCCCGGGCTCCCAGCGCCCACTCGCGCGCCCCGGAGGCCGGGAGGGGAGGCGCGCCTCGGCCCCCCGCGCCCCTTCCCCGCGGAGGATGGGGGCGCCCGTTCCTCCCCCGGCGCCGGGCTTCTCCCCCCCCCCCCCCCCACCCACCCGCTCCCTCCCGCCTGGGCCCAGCCCCGGGCGAAGGTGACCGGCGCGCACCCGGGCTCCGGGAGGCCGTGACCAACCTGTAACCCCAGCGCTCGGAGCGGTCATGGTGCGGCGAGGAGGAGGCGATGGAGGCGGCGGGGACGCGACCCTCCCGCCCCGGGCCCCAGGCGCGCTTCTGCCGGTGCGGCAGCTCCGCGCTACTGCCACCGGGGCGGCGGGGCCTGGAGCGAGGGAGGTGGGGGCTTTTTCTTTAAAAAAAATAATCAAATCAAATCAAATGAGTTGACTCTCCCGCAAGGGTTGCCTGGGGCTGGAAGGAGGAACCGCAGCGGAGGCTGCGCTGCAGCTGGGGGGGGGAGGGGAGGGGTAGCGGGAGGGTCGGTGCCAGCAGGTTCCTCTGCCTCTGGCAGCCTCAGCAACAGCTGGGCTCTCTCTCCTCTGCCAGCTCCTCTCCTGGTCTCTGTCGTGCTCGCCCAGCACGGCCTGGCCTTGTGCACTACAGACAGACACACACACACACATGGGCACACGCAAGGCCAGTGCATAGAGGTCTGCAGGTCCGTGTGGGTGCATTGTGTGCCTGTGGGTCTTGTATTGTCTTACTGGACTCAGGATCATCCTTGGATATGAAGTGTAATCAGTATAATCAGTGACACTTATCCTGGGTCTTCTAAGCATGTTGACAGTTGTCTTTGAAATTAAAATATTTTGTTATGTGGATACAACTGAATGTCCATTCAAAAATGGATAGTCACCTCCGTGCACTGTCAGTGTACCAAACAGGAAGCTGTGTCTGATGTTTCCTGGGCACCTAGCCCAGGCCCAGGGGGCATCACCCTCTCTCATTCTTCCATACTCCCTGGAAAGTTTGCCCTGGGGCGGCCATCCTGCCTTGTAGTCAGATATTCAACTCACCCAGAAACCCTTAACAGTGGTTTAGACATCATACACACACAGGCACATAGAGAGGGAGAGAGAAAACGGAATGAAGCTCCCTCTAAAAGAATCTGAACACCTGAAGAAAGAACAGATCCATATCACAAAATGATATAGCCCAAGGGATGGAAGTCAACACACACACACACACACACACACACTAAAGATGTGTCTTCTGGTTATGTGTGTTTAATTGTTACCATCTTTAAAAAAAATCCTATTCACAGGCCATTCACATTCACTTATTAGAGCTATTTTATTGTTTATGTTAGCAGTTTTTTAATTTAAAGACAATTTAAAAGTAATCAGCATTTCATAAAACACATGTGAAGATTTTTTCAAATTTCCAAAGATTTCAGAAAGATCAACTATATAAAAAGCTAAGTTTTAAATCATATGGAATGATTTAAATAACAGAAAATAGGAAATAATTTAAACAATGGTCAATGTACAATACATAGAAAACTATTTACCAGTTTATTTAATTATCTTAAGTCACTGCCTTCAATTATTTGATCTAAAAATGCTTGCTTATTTCAGTTTGTACCTTAAAATATATATAGCTGTGTAGCATTCTTTGGAATTCAAGTTAGAATAGCCCTTTAGAAAATCATATTAATGAAATAATTCAAGCCAAGATATTTATTAATTTTTGAATGAAGTGATAAAGATAGCAGTTTTCCCAGTCTCGGTACCAACCAAGCATTGCACACCCTTCTCTGCCCATGCCTGAACTACTGCTATGTCAGTGTCCATAATTCAGGATTAGGAATCAAACAATTTCCTGGACAATGGAGAGAGTCATTGGAATTCTGTAAGTTCAATGAAGCAGCCATGGGGAAACTCAGTACACCTATCTAGGAATCTGTAGCAACTCACTGTGTATAGAAGTAGATAATCATCCTTAAAGGCAGATAATTACGTCCCAGATGCCACCTCACTCCTCCTACCTGCTCACCATTCTTCTATTTTCTTATCATTAAAATTTGGGGAAGATGGATAAGCAGCTTTTCCAGGTCCAATGGGATCTGTAACTATGCTCATTTACATAATGTAATGGAAGTGAGTTGCTGCCCTATGGGTTGAGTATAATTCAGAGGTGTGTTTTATTTAGCTGGCAACATATTTTTGACAAATTAAGATCAACTACCAACATTTGAAAATCATGAGATTTTTATTTATTTTAATTTTTTAAAATTTTTTATTATTGCCGAAACCGGTTTGGCTCAGTGGATAGAGCATTGGCCTACAGACTGAAAGGTCCCAGGTTCGATTCTGGTCAAGGGCATGTACCTTGGTTGCAGGCATGTCCCCGGTAGGGAGTGTGCAAGAGGCAACTGATCAATCTCATCACTGTTTCTAACTATCTATCTCTTCCTTTCTGTAAAAAAAACAATAAAATATGTTTTATTTAACAATAAATAAATTTATTGTTAAAAGTATTACATATGTCCCTTCTCCCAACCCCCTCCCCCCAATTCCCCTTTCTAGCCAGCCACTGCCCCTTGCCCCAGGCCCTCACCACACTATTGTCTGTGCCCATGGGTCATACATATAAGTTCTTTGATTGGTCTCTACCTACCTCCCCACCCAACCCCACCTTCCCTCTGAGATTCACCAGTCTGTTCAATGCTTCTATGACTCTGGATCTATTTTGTTCATCAGCTTATTTTGTTCATTAAGATTCCACATATAAGAGAGATCATGTGATATTTGTCATTCTCTGACTGGCTTATTTCACTTAGCATAAGGTACCTCTTCAGGTACCTCCATGCTGTCTCAAAGGGTAAGAAATCCTTCTTTTTCACTGATACATAGTATTCCATGGTATAAATGTACCACAGTTTTTTTACTCACTCATCTACTGATGGGAACTTGGGCTATTTCCAAGTCTTAGCTATTATAAGTTGCACTGCTATGAACATAAGTGTGCATACATTCTTTCTGATTGGTGTTTTGGGTTTCATAGATATATTTCTAGAAATTGTATCACTGGGTTAAATAGCAGTTCCATATTTAATTTTTTGAGGAAACTCCATATTGTTTCCCATAGTGACTGCACCAATCTGCGTTTCCCACCAGCAGTGTAACAGAGTTTTCTCCACATCTTTGCAAGCACTTGTCATTTGTGGATTTGTTGATGGTAGACATTCTGACAGGTATCATTGTTGTTTCAGTTTGCATCTCCCTGATGATCAGTGACTTTGAGCATTTTTTCATATGTCTCTTGGCCTTCTGTATGTCCACCTTGGACAAGTGTTTATTTAGATCCTTTGACCATTTTAAATTGAATTGTTTGTCTTCCTTTTGTTAAGTTGTATGAGTTCCTTTTATATTTTGAATATTAGCCCTTCATCAGATGTATCATCTGCAAATATGTTTTCCCATACAGTGGAAAGAATAGATGCATTTAATGATGGATGGCCGGGGCAAGGTTTAACACAGTTTATTTCTACACCTCCTGGATGGGATATTGAATGCCTCTTGGGTGCCTTTATCTTCTCATAAAAAGGCTTTCCAGGCAACCACAAAGCATTAATTCACCATTTAAATATTGGAAGGTTTTGGAAAAATAAGACATCTTACTCTTTCCTTAAGGCACATGTGTCAAACACAAGGCCCGCGGGCCAAATCCGTCCCGCCAGGCCTTGCAATGTGGCCCGCACCGCGCTGTCATCACTGCACTCCGCTGCGTTTCCATCACAATGACAGTTTATGACTGTTCAGTAAACCATTCGGCCCGTGATTTAGGCTGGATTTTAGATTTTGGCCCCTTCTCTGATTGAGTTCGACACCCCTACCTTAAGGCAATGTTTCCCAAGTCTTCTTGGTAAGGATCATCAGGGTGATATAAAATATTTTCAGGACAACTCTGATTAAGTCTCTCAAGTGAGATGTGCAACTATGGAGGATCTCTCTCAATATAACAGGTATTCCCTTAAGCAACACAGTTCAAGTGGTTGGTGCCTATTCACAAGCATTTCTTTCCTAATAGACGAGAGTGGATTTTCCCACTCTCTTCCCTCTCCTACAAGTCCCATGCATATACTAGTAAATCCTCATATACTAGTAAACCCTGGAGCAGTTCTGGAATCCCAGTAGACACCGCACTTATGTTGTAGTGTGTGATCTGAAGCACTAAAAATGTGTGAGTGCAACTAGGTGGTAAAAGACCATCTGCTGACTCAAATGTGAGGTCTTTGCAAGATTGTCATATGGCCATTTAATGTTTCACATAGTTCCTGTTTGCATTTAAATCAGTCATAGATAGGAGATAGGCTTAGCATATCTTTCAACAGCAAAATTTTTTAAAGATGATAAATACCTTAAACAGAAGCTATAGATATTAAAATAGGCTAACATTTATTGGGGCAAGAAATGTAGTTGATTTCTTATATGGGAAAATAAACTGTCCAATGATCTGAGAGGGGTTCCTGAGGACACACTTGACTTGGAAAATCATATGATGTACAGGTAACTGTGGCCCTCCCCCCCTATGCGTACTTTACAGGTTAATTGAAAAAATTCTTGGCTCACCATTCTCCCTACTTTAGGTTATATTTTCAGAGGAAGCTAAATTTTAGGAGGGGAAAAAAAAAGGAGGACTGTGAAATCTGGAATAAACAATAATATCAATTAGGCACTCAAGCTGGAAGCTAAACAAAGGTCTCATTGTACTGAGCAGCAGCTGAACTGATGGCCCAAAGGAGCTGGTGGATTCTTGAAAACAAAGGGCATGTTTCAAGACCATCAGTCAGTAATCAAGTGATGCAAGTTTTGACTATTTAATCATAACAGCTTCTCCCAGACAGCAGTAAATATTTGAGTCTAAAGTAACCCTGAATATCTCATTTATTATATACAATATCTTAATAAGTCCCCCTCAAGATTGATGGAATGGGGCACTCCTCAAGACAACCCACACACTCAAAAGTGCTAGCTGAGGGGAGAAGGATTCCAGAAAGGGTGACCAGGAAGAAGTATGATGAGCATCACTTATCACCTTGGAGCCAGGAGTGGGAGCTGTTGTTCAGAGCTAATTTTCTTCTTGTAAATTGCCCAGAAGTTGGGACCAACCAGAATCCTGTGCCTGGGAGGAACAAGTAGATCTTACAGGCACTATGAAGGGGTGGACTGTGTTGGTTACTATCGGTGCCATCCTCAGAGTCTCTTTACCAGGTCAGCATGTCTATTTTCCAATTGCTATTAGGATTAGTGCTAACATCTCCTAACTATCTTTTTTTTTTTTTTTTTTTTCTTTCTTTCAGAATGGAAGATGCCTCACTCTGGAAAATAAAACCCCATTCCCACTCCAGGGAAGGGGGCAGTTTGAAACCAATGAGAAATGGACAAGCTGGCATTTCTATGTAAAGGTGGGTCAACTCTAGTGTAATTCATCTCTAGAGTTCTCAGTATCACCCACCTGAAGCTTCACTCCAACTACATCTTTCCATGGCTCCTTCTCCTATTCTCCCCTGCTACCCTCACTTCCTTTCTCCTGAAAGTATCCCTTGAATAAATTGTGTGTCCCTGA